CAAAAAGAAAATTGAAATGCTATCTGCGAATTCGTCTTGCGAAGCTGACGTAATGTGACCAACAAAAAGTTCTAGACATTTCTTGCTGTTGTAATCAATATGGGGACGATCCTGTTGGCCAATTTGCAAGAATATTGGTCGAGGAATGTTGTCAGTTATATTCCTTTCTATTTGGATATATTTACAAGAGACAGATTTAGCCAAATCTTTTGGATGATTCATCTGAAAACTATTCCAGCATGCAATACCAATATTTATCAAACTTTATTGTTTTCGACATATAAATGAATAAATTGGTGAAACTGTATTATTTGTATACTGTATTGTTTGTTTGTTTATAAATGTTTTTAAAGTACTTGTAAAATGTTTCCTGAATTTGGTCGAAATCGTCTCGAGTTGCTGGTTAGCACAAGCAAAAAAGGCCTCGAGTGCAAAGAGAACAAACTAGTAGAAAACACATTTTTGAGCAATTAAAATCTTTTTCTTTTTCTTTTCTAATAATAGACCAACTGGATATGAAATAACCGATGTTAATTTATAATTTTTCCAGTTAATAATTTTTATGAACCTTTACAGGTTTTTTGTGACTAATGAAAAATGTTTCTTATTCCGTATGGTGCATATCTTATAAAATATTATGGGTTTTAAATTTTTTTTTTACATTTTACATTTTGTGTTTTTAAATATTTTGAAATTTTCAGTAGTAAAGCTTGTTGAGATCTTAAACTGTAATATGAAGTTTTGAGACTGTAGTTCTTTTATTTTTTTATGAATTATTTTGTAAGGAAACAGCTTCATAACATATAAAATTAAATGTGTAACTAGAAACTTTTTTCTATTATTTATTGTAAAAATCCCTTGTTGCTTTGACATTTATTTTTAGAAATATGGAACTTTTTTGCTAAACCTAATGCATGTGAATTCAGTGTAAACTTATCATTTTTTTAATGTTGAAAAATGAGCTGACCTTCATGTTGGTATCTTCATACATAAATTTAAAGAAGCTTCTGTACCATTTGAACATAATACCAGTTTCATTTAATAGTAAGCTTAAACGTAACTTCATAAACCAATTAGCATTTTGCTTAAATCCTCTGTGTAGCATTATTTTATGACACTTGCTTAATGTTTCTATGATAGAAATTATAAATCTAAATACGTGTTAGTAATAAGCTAACTCTAAATACAAGTATTAGTCTTCAAAATAGCAGTAAATTTATGGGAGGGTGGAACTTTAATTTTTTAAATGATTGTTTATTAGCTGCTGATTCCTTTTATATTTAACAGGGTAAGTTCAAAAGTAGGAAAGTACTGGATAGCATGTTATTCAAAATCTGTGATCTGTCTGAACAATCATAATGTTTACTCACTGCTTATTTTCTTGGGAAAAGTTTGTGTGGCTTCTTTTGAAATGCTGAGTGTTTTATGTTAATATAGTTTCAAAATTAATTAAGCATGCTTTCATACTTAAGTGTTATTTTTAGCATATAAATTTGAATTCATGATTGTTTTAATGAACAGATGTTAATTTTATAAGGAAAATCACAGTTTATTTTCTCGCAAATTATTGAGAAACGTTTTAGCAGACATAAAAACCAAACAGGTAATATTTTTGGAAACACAGGCTGTTTTTATTGAAAAATATGTGGTTTTGGGAATCATAAAGTGCAAACATTTTACTAAGGTTCCCACTGAAGGTACTCCAAAAAAGGTTAATAAACTTCTTTGTACTAATTAATTCGAAAACTTTTGTTTCCATTATTTATGTTATCATTTCAAAACAAAATTTAAGCTGGTGATTCTCTAACTTATTATTTTTTATATATGCATTGCAATCTCACCAAATGACTTTAAAAGCATTGGCATCTTTGTGTGTCAGGCTTTCTTAATAATACCTACTCAGAAATGTTGCTTGTGTTTTCGGAATGCCAGGCAGAGACGTGTCTTGAACCCCCACCCCCTTGTTAAGAAGCTGATGTTCTTGTTTCATAGCTGAGAGGTGTTTCTGTAACCAAAAAACTCTGGAATTAATATCTTGGATAGTTCTAATAATACCCAATTTAATGTTCCTCCTTACAGAATTACTATAAATAATGTTATGGTGTTTGCCATAGAAGTTCCTTTGAGATAATATTCTGAGTGTGTATTAAATTATATTTAAAATGTTGTTCAATTTGCCTATTAGATGGCCAGAAGTTGAGTATACTAATTTTTCATTTCTTCTTTCAGAATTTTTATTCTGTTGAATTTTATGCAAAAAAAAGGAGGATGTTTGGCTGATCTTTGGAATATGGTAACAGGTAGTTTGGCGACATTTTGGAGGCAATAAAGGTTACTACCTAGAACTTTGGTAATAATGTGAGAAGTACTCAGTTCCGATTACGCATTATTTTGTGTGAGGGAAATGAGAGATCATGAGATATGTCATGTGACATTAATGAACGAATTACAGTTCTTTAATCGGAAAAGGGGGTAAATTTGGAAAAATATCTGGAGTGCTATATTATTTTGTATTAAGCTTCATTGTGTGTTGTGTGAAATAGTGTTGATTAATTTTCGAATTGCATGGCACTATCTAAAGTGAATTCTAAATTTTTAATGCGTTTATCTGATAATTCAAAAGAATTGGTTGAATGGTGTATGAGTGTAGGTTTAATGCGGATAAGATGAAGTCCAAAATGTGGGAATGAAATGAGATTGTGTGAAAGGAAGGATTATTACAGATAAGTTTGAATGGCGGTGCAAGAAATCTAGTGAAAATGGACATTTTGTGAAGCGGAGTGCAAGGAAGGGTACCTGGTTTGCTGAAAGTCGTTTGAGTATGGGTGAAATTTTATTTATTTCTTACTACTGGGTGAATCGACTGCCAGTTGACTACTGTATTTCCGATTTAGAAATTAGTAGTAGTACAGGTGGTTCTTTCTGTAGGGAAGTGGATGTCAGAATGATATGGGTTGCTTGGGTATGAATTGTTGTGGAAAGTAAGTTTGGGAAACCCAAGTATCTGAGAGGTAGGAGAGTGGAAGGAAAATGGGTATTCGGTGGGATTGAAAAGGGAAGTAATAAGTGTTTTTTTAAGGTTGTGCGAGATAGAAGTAAAGATGCTATTAAGTTTTATTAAGCAGTATATTCTACCTGGTACAATAATAATATCTGATTGCTGGAAGTCGTATGCCTGTTTGGAGGATGAAGGTTTTCAACATCTTGCTGTGAACCATAAGTATCATTTTAAAGATCCTGAAGCAGGTGCACATACGAATACAATAGAGGGCACGTGTGGAGTGCTGTAAAAAGCGCCATTCCGAGGCATTGTGATAAAAAGAATTTTGCTTTTTATTTAGCGGAGGGAGTATGGAGGAAAAATTCGCAGAAAAAATCTTTCAATAATTTTATTGAATCAATTAGAAAAGTGTATCCGCCATGTAAGCAAGATTCTGAAGAAGATTAGGTAAGTTAGTATTTTTAATTATTTGAGGATATTATTTTTATGCATTGTTCTAAATTTAAGGAGTAAATAAAGTAATTTGGTATTATTGGAAAATTGTTATTAGCAATGATTTAGTTTAAAGTAATTAGGATTGTAAGCTAAATTTTTAATTTAATTATATATGTGTTTATTATATTTTAAGTAGTGTTTTTTGAATTTAATTATATTTTAATTAAATGATAGTTATTTTGGGAATTATATGTTTGTAGGAATTTGGTATAGTTTTCAGTGGAAGTAAAACGTGCAATGGAAATAATTTAAATATTTGACACTAAGTATTTGGAACCATTTTTAATGTTTGCGGTAGAAATTTGTTGGTGATGTTTATAATATAATAGATAATTTAGAGGTAAAAGTTTTTGGATATTTTATTTATTTTATACGTGGAAATGTTCATCCTTGGAAAGGGTATATACTTTTTCACGATCAGGTAATTTCATATATGTTCTTTTTACCGAATTTAAAGATTCACAAAATTTTCATGCATTTTCGTGAAATTTTTCTAATTTATGACAAAAAAGCAGTGTACATGGATATAATGAAGAGTGTGCGCAATGCCATTTTTGTGCAATTCTGGGATTTTTTTTAAGTAAAAATAAGTCGACGTGTACATGGTTTAATGATATTTTAAATGATAGTTATTTTTGTGAATTTTAGTTGTAGGAATTTGGTATACGTTTCAGTTGAAGTAAACGTGAATGGAAATAATTTAAATATTTGACACTAAGTATTGTAACCATTTTAATGTTGCGGTAATTCATTGGTGACGTTATAATATAATAGATAATTTAGAGGTAAACGTTTTTGGATATTTTATTATTTTATACGTGGAAATGTTCAACTTGGAAAGGGTATATACTTTCGCAATCAGGTAATTCTATATATGCTTATTACGAGTTAAAGATTCAGAAAATTTTCCGCATTTTCGTGCAAATTTTTGTAATTTATGAGAAAATAGCAGTGTAGATGGGTTAAATTAAGAGTTGTGCAATGCCATTTTTGCACTTCTGGGTTTTTTTTTAGTAAAAATAAGTCGACGTGTAATGGTTTATGTGTATGTGCTTTCTGAAAACGCGCAAGGAGTTTGCGATTGTGCACTTTTTCCTAATTTGCAGTTAAATATTGTCATGATTAAGCAGATTGTTACATAAAAGTTCTAGCATAAGTGTAATTCGGTAATAGATGTTGGAAAAAGTGTTGAGTAAAAAAAGAAAAGAAACAGTGTCTTTACTTCGTGAAGACAAAATGGCGGCGAAAAAAAAATAGAGGGTTGCTGTAGCAGAGTTGGTTGCCAAATTTTTGCCAAAAAAATCGCCAAGTTACCATAATCCAAAGATCAACCAGATGTTTTTTCCCCCATTTTGCAGAGATTCATTTTTAGGGTATAAATTATCAAAATAATTTTTATATGTTTATATCTGTTGATAATACAATTTGGGTATATTTAATAATGTTATAGAATTTTGTTTTCTTTGTAATAAGCATTCTGATTTTATGTGCTTTTCTTCTAAAGAACACAAGTTCCTTTGTGATGACCATGTTCAAAGGTCAGCTGAACACTGAACAGGTTTTTCCTTATCCTGATGGTAAGCTCATTATGGTTAATAGTTTTTTAAGTTAATAATTTTGTAGTCGTATACTTTATGCATATTTGACGTATTTCTGTAATGTGTTCAGTTTCATTTTCATACCAGCTTAACAAATTAACAATGAATTTTCTGTTATTCATTATTCGCAGTTTGTGTAAAATAAATATTGATATATTCTATCCTATACACTCTGTGTCTTCCTCTTGAATTTTTTTTTCTTTTAATAATACTTGTTATAAATTAAGCTCTTTTCTTTTTGAGTTCAAAATTACTGCCATTTTGAGTGTGAATTAGCATTTTGCAGCAATATTTTTGGCGATTCACTGACAAATATGGTTAATTTTGAATGGGCGAATGGGTTCATGGGTTATAATTTGTTCTCATTTGTAATATTTCTAATATTCGAGTTTCTGAGCAAGAAGTGAAACATAAGTATTTCGAAAATATTTCATTTTTTTTTTTTTTTTTGTAATGAAGAGGTCTCAAAACTTTCTGCTTTTGGGGATGTGAATTCTTTTAATAAATGGTTCTAAATTTGGCGACTTATCAATATTTAGGCGATTTTAAGATCGGTTTCTATGGAAAATTTTTAATTCCGAAGTCTGGGAAATTTTTGGCGACTTTTTTAGAGCATTCTAACATTGATAAATTTCATTAAAATAACGATAATGTATTGGAATAATATTTAAGAAATAACATTAAAATAAAGCATTTTTATTTTTCACTGTCATATTGTAAAGTTCCATTTCGGCCATATATTATTATAATGTTTTGAATCTGAAAAATAAGCAAGGTATAATGCTATAAAGCACAATTTATGAAACAGTTTTTAGCAAAAGCAAAATGGCTATGTAATTAAATAAAAAGTCTTTTGAATTTTTTCATGGTAAGAGTTTTTCCCATTTCTCAGAATATGCATCAGTTTTCTCTTTCTCTACTTTTCACTAGACACAAGCATGGAAAATATCAAAAATGCTGCTAATTTTATCATATGGACATGCTGTATAGAAAAAAAAAATTTTATTAATAAAATTGAAAACTGACAATTCAAAAGATTCATCTAATATGTAATAATCTTAATGCATCATACACAGAGCTGGTGCTAGGCATTTTGCCACCTGTTGCAGTCTCTGTGGATCCAAAAATTCTGCTGCCTGGTGCCTTTCTAAATTCTGCTTCCAATTCCTGCTCTAAATTCTAAAAGTTTTGCCAATTCTAGATTTTGTTGCTCGGTGTGTCACTTAAATTCTAAAAATTATGCCACACCAGCTCTGTGATTGGACTTTATCATATGTATTTCATATTTCTTCTGAATATTTGTATTACTAAAATAGAATTAGCAGCTTTTTCCATACATTCTAAGTGCATTTTGTCTTTTAGAATATAGAAATCTTTAATTAAATCCGAAAATTCTAAAGTGAAAAGGAAACGTATTGAAGAAACAAACTAAATATGTAAAGAGAAAAAAATATATATTCTTCAGATATATTAGTTATTATTATATAAATTACCCAGTTGTTAACAATTTCAGCCTTACTATAATTTCCCATTTCTATTTCCTCAGCAGAATGCAAATCACTGAGACAGTTTTTAAACCAAGGTTTTTGGAGTGTAAGACAAGAGTGTGTTTCTGGCCTCCACATGCTCCTATCAGCTTCTATCAGTTCCTATCAGCTCTAATAATTTCCATTACTGCTGCTGACATTTGAGTTTATTATGATGATAGAGTTATTGAACCAGAATTAATTGAAATTAATTCTAATCTCTTTTAATTTTAGGATGGTATTAAAAAGTGAAGTTCAGGCATAGATATAATATTTTTAATTTAATTTATTCTGTTCCCATTTGCTTATAGGTCCTTAATGGTCCTTAAAAGCACTTAATTTCCATGTGCAGAAATGTGTACGAACCCTGTATTGCTTATTTATTGAACTCATGATTATTTCTCACACATATAGTCATGTTTAAGACTTACCAGAGTCCTGAATAAATAAATTCCCACATGTACTTAAGGCTTATCCAGATCTGGGCACGGACATTGTGTCACCCACACGCTCAGTGGGTCCAGAATTCCACTGGCAAGTACCTCCTTAAATTCTAAGGATTTTGCCCTCTTCTAACTGTGTTGCTTGGTGCTTCGCTATATTCTAAAAATTTTACCTTTCCTAAATTCTGCCACCCAGTGCGACCATAACAGCTGTGGTATGGTCCTCAGCTTAACTGAATAACGCATCAGATATTCTCAAGTCAAACAGCACTAAATGTAATTTTTTTTTTCGGGGCACATGGAAAGAAATTTTTGTTGAAATTGCTCTTTGTCAGTACACACTACACATCAAGCAGGGTTTCCTAAAGCCTGTAATAATCAGCAAGTGTAATGTCAACATGAAAGGTTATCAAAGCTGTGTGGTATTTTGTTATTGCTATTTTAAAATTGAAAAATGTCTGAACATTTAATAACATTCAACAACTGTATTAAATTCAGTCATTTCTCAAGCTGCAGTGTGTTGATAGTCATGTGGTGAAGAAAGCAAAAATATAAGAAATCATGATTTATTATTTCAAAGGCTGGCCGAAGTGTAATTAAGAATCGGAACTCTTTGTGTGCATTATGATAAAATATCGAATGCGCAAACGTAAAGCATAAAAAAATTTCTATCAATGTAAAGCATATGCAAATGTAAGTATAAAAAAAGTTGCTGGTGATTTGGAGGTCAGGATTTTAGGTCATGAATATGAATATATTATATTCATGTACATGGTTATTAAACAGTTGAATTAATATTACCATATACATAAAATCAGTATAAAAATTATTAGTTTTTCCTTTTAAAAAATGTAATCCAGTTCAAAATGAATAAACTTATATTTTACTTTTAAAATAAACTTAAATCATGAAAATAGATATGCAGAAAAGTAAAATATGATTTTTATTCAAATAACTGAAAAATATTGCATTAATAAATATCATAAAATACCTCACATGAATGATATCTGCTACATTGATAAAAATGATAGGCTTTACAAGAGGATTACAAGAGTTTTGTAAATGGGTCGCTGAAAGTGCTTAAGAGCAAGGATTGTTCCAGGTTGCTTTCCTTACGGAAAGCTTTATATTTTCCTTCACAATTTAAAGCCTAAATTTTCATCCCTGAAATTTTAAATTCCCTTAGATTTTATAAAAAGTAATTCTTTTTCACTGTTTATAATAAATTTAATTTCTTTAAATAAAGAAGCCTTATGAAAATACAAATATAATTATTTGTATTTTCATAAGGCTTCAGAGTGGCCATCATTGTAAGTTGCAAGCACAAAAATTATATCTGGGAATTTATCATCTGCATTCAGATAAAATAGTCTTATTACATCCATTTTGCATCTCATGGACCAGGAACTTTCTGTTCCCATTTGCTTATAGGTCCTTAATGGTCCTTAAAGTACTTAACTATCTGCACCACTTTCCAAAAAGTCACCAGTTTGTTGCCAACTAATTTTTTGTCAAGCTGTTATGTGAAAAGCGAGTCATTTTGAAAAAAATGGCACACTAAGAATTCAGTGAAACTGCTATGAATGAATAAAATTGAAAAAGCAAGGAATATCAATATTAGAATGTCTGCCTTTTTAAAGGAATTCTTATGTGACTTTTTTGGTGCTGTTGTTCTCCACATGTACCTAAAGATCTGTTTTCCCTTAAAAAGTGAAAAAATTGTACAAACTTGGCATTGTGCCCAAATTTTGGACCAAAACGTTGAATCGTTTGAGAAATACAATTTCATGGAACATGAATTTTTGCATTCTCTGCTTTAGGCAAATTTCCATATTTCTGAAGCAATCCAACACTTTGTTTTTCATCTTCTGGCAATCTGCACATTCTCATTACATTTCCTTCCACAGGAAAAAAAAAAGTACTTGGTGCAAAAACAAATAATAATTAGAAAAATAGTTGTAGAATTTGAATGTGGAAATCTGTACTCATCTGCAATGTGCATGCACATACCTGGGCTGCCAATTAAATGCATTTTGACAATGCCATGGGTTGTCTATTTCAGCGGCATTCATTGCCTTTTCAGGGAATAATGGATAATCAGAAAGAACCAATTTCCATGTTCATCAAATACTTAATAGGAAAATGCTCATATGATGGATCATAAGTAACAGTCTAGCATTGTAATTGCAGACAATTATATCAGGACAAGAACATTATCGCACTATCAAATTTTTGCTTTTACATTGAGCTCCCAGGAACTGCTTTCCACGAGAAGACAGCTTTCTTGGAATGCAAAAAAATCTCTGTTGTTCAGGGCAGTTTCCTCTTTTATGCTCACAGCATTATGGAATGGATGTGCATGTGCTGAGCTCATGACATTCCACTAGATGCATTGATTCATCTCTGAGTTGCCAGGATAGCTGGCTTGGCTATGTGAACATTCCTGATGGTCTGCCATGTGATCTTGCTTTAACCATGTGAAAAGTCTAACTGCCCACATGCATGTAGAATTTTAACAGTAGTTAGCATTTGTGATTTTGTACTTTTATAAAAAAAAATTATGGAGCTTGCACAATACTGGATGTGAAAATAACAAATTCTTTTTATAGATATTGTATTTATGTTTATTTCAAAGAATAAGTAACAGTGGTTTCAATTTTCTTTTCTTAAACACTGAAATGATGATACATTCTTTCTTTTTTTAGTTTTTAGACCTGAAGCTAAAGAAACTTGAAGATGATGTTGAACCTCCTAAAAAGTTTTTTGAGGCAATACTCTTTTTATGACTTTACAGTTTTACGAAAAACTGTGTTTAAAGGTTGTTTGTGGATGTAATTACTTTTAATGATACAATTTTATATTGTAGAGTTTTATTCATATATTGTTTTACATAAGCAATAACTTTTATTCTAATATATTGTCAAAATTAGCTTTGTTTATAAATTATGACCACAAGTTCTTTGATGCAGATCAAAATTCACTTAGTATGATTATTTAAAAATTTTGCTGCCTCTGTTAATGCTAGAGAGATTGTGTTATACACGGTGTTTCAGCAAATTA